GTACATATTTTTGTGTTCTGCTCCCTGTGGTCTTTATTATGCTGTAAACATTGGTATTTGTTTGTATTGTCACATCTCTATTGTTTGTAGTGTGTTTCAGGCAGGCTGTAGTGTTGTAGTATTGCACAGATGTTAATTTGTTTTTAGGAGATGCTTTTTAATTAAATAAAAATTTTTTTTTATGTATATTGATTGTCAATAACAGATTAAATGTTACGAAGAGTCGGGACTGTGTTGGTCTGTATTGTTTTACAAAATGGTTATATTTGTTTTTTATATTGTATGAGTTTGTAAGGATTCTTATCTTGTTTTTATTGTTTTGTAGTTTTGTATATATTTTCGTTTTAACTTTTATTCTCAGTGCGTTACAGGATATTATTTGCAGTACTATCAATAATGCAAATAATGCTCATAGAAAGTACAGGGACAAAATATAAATTTTTGGAGGGGTGAATTGTAAGCTGTTAAGAGATAATTCACTTCATTTATATTGTATTGGATGTGAACTGTGTAAATCTCTAGGTGACACAGTATGTTGAAACGGAGGTGACAGGAGCTGCTGTTGGTGCTGCTGTGCTTGCTTTTGCTATGAGCCAGTATAGATGGACTGTAAGTCACCATTTATTGTGACGAGTGACTCCTGGTGAGACTAAAGAAGGTTCCTCATAGTTTCTAAAGTTAAGGTTGTGATGCTCTCGGAAATGGTGAGTGAATCTGGTTTGATTACTGTTGAAGAGTTCAGTATAAGGAAGGCGACAGTATAGACATAGTTAGGTGGTGTACAGCAGTGGATTTATTAGAATATTGAAAAGTTGTTAAAGTGTATTATCACCCTCTATCTATCTATTCTATCATATCTAGAGCAACCGCTGTAAATGTACAACAGAGTGATTAGGGAGGGTACTTAAGAGGGGAAAAAATTAAAATCTAACAGTTTTGAAATTACAAGAATAAGTCGTATATACAGGAATAAGCGAATAATAGAGAATGTATTAATAATACAAGAAAGAAAAGCCGTTTTAATGAGAAAAAAGCTTGATATGGAGTTATTTTCAAGATTCTGTGACGTGACCAGCTCAACCAAACAGCAGCCTCAGCCTGAGCCCAGCAGCCACTGTTTGTCTCAGTCGTACCGTGTAACGTCAGAACAGGGTTAAGCAGGTAAGCTAACGTATTCATAATTTAGTCATTCTAAACTTACTAAATGGGGTATCAGTATATGAAATAGGAAATACTTTGCATATAGATATATAGATGCTAACTTCTTCTTCATTTATGTAAAATAAAATGTTCCTTTTGTAGAACAGAAAATGTTCAAATGAGGTGAGACATGACAGGCGATCCTTTCTTAAATCATACTTTTGTTGTATCTTTGCATGATTTCATTTTGCTCCCCCTCACTCTGTTCAATTTTAATCCAGTCAGGGTTTTTAGGGTTATCTTACTGGGAAGATTGTATACTGATTTTACATACTGAAAAGAAGTTAAAGACTTCTGGTAAGTCATAATACACGGAAGTCCTTTGTATTCAAAATGACATATATGGGGCTTAAAATTTCAGGAATAAATATGGTACATGTTATTTTTTTATGCAGTGCCTATTAATATATGTATGATATTTTGCAATGTTTCTGTGAGCATGAAACTTGCTACAGACACAAAAGCTGATTATTATGTTTTTTGTATTTTAAATCATGGTATCTTACCCATTGAGACTGTTAGAGCTTAATAATATTAAAATTATATTTTTACATTTTCAATATACAGAAACATCATATAAACCATAACTCGCTTTATATTATTTACCTTAAAAATAAGATTTTTTTTTTTACATCTTAAAGACTCAAGGATAAGCAACATGATTTCACACGATGAAGATGGTTACTTACAGTCAGCCAAACCGATGACTCCAGCCCAGAGCAGCAGGATCTTCAGACCCCAGAGACCTTGCATATCCAGGAGTGAGGGTGCATATGCAAGTCCGAGTGGGGACCAAGAGAAGATGTTCACACAAAGAAGGTGTATTTCCTCTTTTGAGGATATATATACATATATGGCTACATTTCAAGATGCAGCTTCACCACAAACATTCTGAAATCATATCTAATCCTCACATCAGCTTTAAGTGTAAAAACCAAGGTCCTTAAAAAACATCACTTCCTGTTTCTTGGCTTTTAGACACATGCTCAGTGCACCCATGGTTCCCATGTTCTTTGTGGCTCTAACTAACACAAGGGCACGCTCATGTTCAGAATAACTTTTAATGGTAGATAAAACACAATCAAGTGCTCTCTTGGGTGTTTTTCCAGTGGAGGAAAACCAGATAAAGTGTCCTTTCATGGTGGTACACTAACCCTGCCTAAGCTGTTTAACAATAAATGCATCACAACTTTCTGCACTGAGTTTCTCACGTTGAGGCATCCATACGGAAAGTTTTGATGTAAGACCAGTTTGCTCTGGGACTGAACAACTTCACAATTTCACCGGGACTCCTGGTTTTAGGCATGGAACATAGAGCAAACAAAGAGCATAGAGCAAATATTTTACTGTTCTTTCGCACTCCTTCCTGCTCTAGGCTTACAGACCAACAATATCATAGCCTGGCAAACAACTCAAAAACACACGAGTAATTACTTTTTATAAGTGCACAAGAAAGATGCTGTCTGTTCTCCCAGTCTAAAGAAAGAAACATTCTGCCATTTGCTCCAGGAGTGAATGTCTTCATTTGTGCTGTTTCATTAATTTCTGCTGTGTTGTTAGTGTGTTTGAGGTCATTAGCTGAGTGTTTATGCTCTCCTTCCTTCTTGCCTCCCTTGAGTACCCCCCCTCCCGCCACACCCTAACTCCATTCTGTAGGTTCCCTCCACTCCACCCACAAAACTTAACCCATCCCTCTGGGTCCTTCCAAATCCCTCTTGGCCAGGGAGCAGTGGGGGTGGGCACTGGCTCTCTCCCTGTAATGAACTCCACAGGGACTGCTGTTCAGTTTCATCACAGCAAAAATTGCTCCCATGGAGCCCTGAAGACAGTGAAAACAAACAAAAGTAAATATCTGGAATTAATACACGAGTTGTTTGGCTATAGCCCCACCCTCATGGCCTTCTCTGCTTCAGAGTATAGAGATATTTATATATTGTGAGAAACCGGCTCTTCATTTTGGGTTTAATGATGAAAATTTTTTGGGGAAAAAGTTAGTGCTGTTATTTTGTGCCTTTTCCCATACATCTCAAATCCATGCATCCCTAAGTCCATCTAGTGGTGAAAAGTCTGCACTGCAGTTTGCTTTTACTGGTAATTCCTTTTAAAATGTATAAAAATGCTCTGCAGCCGAAAGGAGCTTTGTTGTTATGTATACTCAAATAATATGGCCAAAAGTGATTATGCAAAGAGTTGTATAAGCTTTAAATTAATAAAACATTATCTGAATATATTCTGTTAATGAGATAATTTCTTATTACTGTGCATACAGCCCTAACCT